GTGTACGCAGACCTTACCTCTATAGACATTTGGCTCAAGGAATAATGAAACCTTGTAGAGTAAGCGAATACGAATATCTTCTGGTTACCTTAAGATTCACCGAATGTTTACTGACACTCATTTTTTACAAATCAAAGATACCAATGTTTGGTACTCCAATGTGAGTAGCAACTTAACAATACTTTGTGAAGAGTAACTATAGTACACCGAGTTATTCTCCACCACAGTCTCGCCGCCCCAGTATAATGCAACCCTAACTCTTCGTTCATCGGTCATCGTAGAAAGATTCAAATAGAATTTTGTATCGATTGAAGAAGATGAAAAGAAATATATATGATGTTGAAGAACAAAGGCAAATTAGGTTCAAATTTACTTAAGAATGACTTCTCTAAGAATGGAAGTCCGACTTAAGTAAGCAACTAAAAGCGTTTTTGGCACCTGAAAAATGTGCATATGATAGGTGTTTTTTAGTACAATTATCAGGGTTGTGATTCAAAAAGTCAGAAAATGAGCATATAACATGCGTTATACCAATGAATTATCAGAGAATGATTTAGATAGGCAGAAAATTTGGACAGTAAAAAGGAAGTGTATAGCATATGAAATTCATGCACTATACCTTAACGGGGTAACTGACGCCGTTAATGTACAACGCATATATTCATGCGCTACATATACATTCATTCATCCTTTTTCTCTACCTATTCTGGTCGCTTGAGTTCAATTTGTTATTACTTTGGTTTCAAACTCCGCGTTTGAAACCCCAAATAGATAATGTGGGCCCATTTTCTTCCTTTTTACTTCATTATTTCATTATTTCACACAAGTCCCCCTTTTCTTTTTCACACAAGTCCAGCTAGCTGTTCGAACTTCGAAGAAGAAAATGGAGCATGGGGATTTTCTTCTCTCAACTTGCCGGAAAATTCTAAGGCCATCTTGGATGAATCTTCCCCTTTCTCATCTTCTATCTCCTTTTTTGTTTTGAAACTTAAGTATGAAACTCTCTTCCACTAAAAAAATCTTCAATCAAATTCCTTTGATGGTCAAACTCAGAAGCCCAGTGACGATGGTGAGAAGAAAATAGAGCATTTAGATTATCAAAATTTAGAAACATGATACAAGTAATGTACCCCTTTGATGATTTTCAAATTCATTAGAACAAATAAAACAAAAGAACAGAGTTCAAGAATGGACTATGTGTATTTGAAGGCAAACAACAGTTCAATTATAAACTTTCATAAGAAAGAAACGACGCATTGTAAACAAAAAGCCAACAAGGAATCAACCCCAAGTTAGTTGGAATAGACTATATGAATCTTCAGTATCCATTCTGCTCTATTTAGATCCACTTTATTCTAATGCTAAGTAATTTGTCTACAACAAATTCATCATGCTAAACTCAAATGAAAACTTGTTTTTATAAGTTAAGAAGAACAAAAGAGAAGAAAGTCGTATAATATGGTCCGAGTGAAACAAACTTAATTCTGTCAACGAGAGTATCTTACTCAATTTTAAAATTTGCATAATCTACAGTGTCACTAAATGGATAAAGCAATGCAACTACATGACCATTACAAGGTTTATAAGAGAAATACTTTAGGCCTCTATTTAATTTCTTTCATTTTCTTTTTTTCTTTTTTAGCACAAACCTATGTTCCACAATCTCTCTTGATATGTAATGAGTAGCATAGCTCATGTGAGCTAAAACAAGTCTGAGCCTGTAATTTTAACAGATTCATTGATCTATCGGGATTTAATAATTTAGAGGCCAAATTGAAACACTTCGATCTATTGCAACACAAGTGGAAAAACCAAAATTTACAAACAGCAACCAAACGTGAAACTATTCAGCAGAGATTACTATGCATCTCTTTCGGCTATTATATCTTCCCACATCCATTTCACGTGAGTTGAGGTTCTGTGCTCAGACTCAAACCAACAACAACAACAACATACCTAGTATTATCCCACACTGTGGGGTTTGGGGAGGATAGTGTGTACGCAGATCTTACCCCTACCTTGTGAGGATAGAGAGGTTGTTTCCAATAGACCCTCGGCTTGGGAAAGCATAAGCACCATATTAATGAAAATATAGACAAGGGACAGTACCAAAAACCCATATAAAAGCAGAATAAAAACAACAAGATGGTAAGGAGATCAACAATGAAAGAAAACAACGGTTAGTCATAAAAACCTACTACTAACAGCAAGTGAGACTGTGTGCCAATACTACTGTTATGAACACTCTAGACTACCTACTCTACTACCCTAATCCTCGACTTTCGTACCTTCCTATCAAGGGTCATGTCCTCGGTCAACTGAAGTTGCGTCATGTCTTGCCTAATCACCTCTCCCCACCTCTTATTCGGCCTACCCCTACCTCTCCATAGGCCGTCCAATCCTCTCACACCTCCTTATTGGGGCATTTGTGCTCCTCCTCCTCACAAGACCAAACCATCTAAGTCGCGCTTCCCGCATCTTGTCCTCAATAGAGACCACACTCACCTTGTCGCGAATAACCTCATTTCTAATCCTATCTAACCTGGTGTGCTCACACATCCATCTTAACATCCTCATCTCTGCTACCTTCATCTTCTGGACATGAGCGATCTTGACTGGCCAACACTCAGCCCCATACAACATCGTTGGTCTGACCACCACTCTGTAGAACTTACCCTTAAGTTTCGGTGGCACCTTCTTGTCACTCAAAACACCGGAAGCAAGACTCCATGTCATCCATCCCGCCCCAATACGATATGTGACATCTTCATCAATCTCCCCACCCCCTGAATAATAGACCCAAGGTACTTAAAACTTTCTCTCCTAGGGATGACCTGCGAGTTCAGCCTCACCTCCCCTTCCCCTCCTTGAGTCTCGCCACTGAACTTACACTCCAAGTATTCTGTCTTGGTCCTACTCAACTTGAAACCTTTAGATTTCAGGGTCTACCTCCATACCTCTAATTGTGCGTTGACACCGTCTCGCGTCTCGTCAATCAATACAATATCATCTGCAAATAGCATGCATCACGGCACCTCTCCTTGGATGTGGTGCGTCAGTACGTCCATCGTCAGAGCAAACAAAAAAGAGCTAAGTACTGACCCCTAATGCAGCCCCATCATAACCGGGAAATGGTCCGAGTCCCCACCCACCGTCCTCACTCAGATTTTTACTCCATCATATATGTCCTTAATCAACCTAACGTAGGCAACACGTACACCTCTAGCCTCCAAACATCTCTACAAAACCTCTCTCAGAACTTTATTGTACGCCTTTTCTAAGTCGATGAACACCATATGCAAGTCTTTCTTTCTCTCCTTATACCGCTCCATCAATCTCATAACAAGGTGGATGGCTTCTGTTGTCGAACGCCCCGGCATAAACCCAAACTGATTCTCGAAAATAGACACACTCCTCACCGTTAGCTCTACCACTCTCTCCCAGACTTTCATAGTATGGCTAAGCAACTTGATACCCCGATAATTATTGCAATTTTGGATATCACCCTTGTTTTTTACTTAAACTAAAAATCAGACTCAAACCGAATGTGTTCTTTTACTTAAACTAAAAATCAGACAGTGATTTCTGAACTATTACTCTTGGAACGATTCTACCCTGCCTTCGTTCCTAGATCAGCCCCATTACATCTAAACATAGAAAGAAGGGTAGCCAATTCCCCTATTAAATTAAATAATAGAAAACAGAGCAGTGACACAGCTACCGTGCTCGGCAAGCTAATTTCCAATATATAGAAGTCATGTATTTTTCGCTGACCTTTTGTACATGTCGAGCACTATCTTAGTTCTTGGCAAGCTAATTTAATAGTAGAAGTTTTTTCTTGCTTATCAAGAAATAATAATAATAGTAATAATAATAAACAGAGAATCGACACTAAACAATCTCAAGTGCTTTTCTAACCACAAAGAGACATCACGTAGTTAAAGTCTTAAAGATACTTTCAAAAGGATAACTGAAGGTACAAAAGAGGAGTCACTTTGTACACGCGAAATTACATAAGCAACAACTACTACACCACAATCTTAAACTAGTTGGGGTCAACTATATGAATCATTTACATCTGCTGCACCGTATTTGGGTCTATTTCGTTCCAATACTCAATAATTTGGATTTAGACAAATTGGTTTTTGCTAAAACTAGAGATTAATCTTTAATCAAATTAAAAAGATTCCTCGCAGACACAGGATAAAATATAAGTGTACCAATAACAGTTGAATTTATCCGTACTAGTCAATATTGCTTATAGAGCTCTTACTTCAAAATTCATGTGTTACTGCCATTTCTTGGAGTCAAGAAGCTCTAGAGTAGAAAAGGCAACTCCGGACCAGTATCTTGCCGACGTTATGGGAGCTATTTATCTTAATATTATGTTTTAAGAATGAAACTTGATCAATAATGCGGAACACGAATAATAGCATAACATCTTAGCCCACTAATCTTAAGCCCGATAGACTTCACCAATTCTGAAGTAAGATACAATACTCTAAAGAATCTGCAGATATAACTTCAATGTTTAGCAAAAGTAAGGTCTCGGAGAGAGCACCGCACGAGTCAAGCAATATCCATTAGTACCATAACAAGAACAAAAATCTTTCTGCCCAAGTTGGATAAGCAGATAACTCTAACATTAAAACAAAGAGAATCTTGGGAGCTACTTGAAAATAATAGAATTTTCGACCACCTAGAGGTAAAGACACTCCTATGAAAGAGATCCCAAAATTGACAAACTGGTGACTAAACTTGAGGTGCAAGATCATAATTCCTTAACTAGAGAAGCACAAAAGGAAAGAAAGATCTCATCTTTCATTCTAGGAGCCTAAATTCATTTGCTATGAATTCAATTGGGTTCAAAAGAGATCTCATCTTTTATTGTTAGTACCTAAACATTGGGTTCAAAATTAACATCATATTTCTAACAACAGTAACTAAGAAAAGCAGAGTATATAAAAAATCAAATCTTGAACCAAAGGAAAAGAACTTACTTTCCATCAAAGAGAGCATCAAAGACAAACGAAACCAAATGGTGATGTGGGTTCAGCTCATCAATCTCAAGCTTTAAGGAATCTTTATGCACATTGACACCACTCCTAACTTTCTTGGCTTGTTGGGTCTCAGCATAGGGTGATGGGGTAGGTGGGGCTACCAACCCACCTACCATTTGAGCCTGAGGCTGAGGAAGCAGGTAAGAACCAGAACCAGACCCAGACCAGTCGGTGTTGTTGAGATATGGAGCAAAAAAAGACCTACCCACAACAGGGTTAGGGCAGTTGTTGCAGGTAGTGGGGTAGGAGTAGGAGGGTGGTGGGGGTGGGAGGAGATGAGGTGGAAAAGGGAAAGGAGGAGGAGGAGGAGGAGGAGGGTGGGTATGGTAAGGAGTATCGTAGTAAGAGTAGGAGGAAGGGTGGTTGTAGGCATAATAATAAGCATGATTTCTTCTTCTATTGTTGCTATTGCTCTGTGAAATGCCCATGATTTTGCTCCTTCCTCCTTTCTCTGCCACTCGCCTACGCAATCTGGCTGTGTTGGACTATTTGGACTTTGTAGTGTCAAATGCTTCTCTCTCTTGTTTTTCATTTCCTCTTTATATTTATTTTATGTATGCTTATTTAAATACAATTTGTTAAAGTTTTACCGAGAATGGTAATGTTAAGAGCCGTTTGGATTAGCTGATTTGAAATAGCTGATTTGAAATAGGTGCTGAAAAGCACTTTTAAGTGTTGAAACTGATTTAATAAATAAGCAGTTACGTGTTTGGGTACAAGTGCTGAAATTGATAATAAGTTGATACAGTATTTGATAAAAAAGTGCCGATAAGCTCTTTTTCTATTAAAATGACTTAAATAACCTTAGAACTATTTACACTTATAAGGGCATAATTTCTTCAAAATTTTAGATTCCAAATCAATTCAAATACAAAATATTCTATTCATTTAATTTTAAATATAATTGTGCTTAAATAAGATAATTTTTATGATAAGCATATAATCATAAGTTATATAATAATCAATAAATTGACAAAAGTTTCTCAGTAAAAAATAAACCTAAATAGGATAAATTATTTGAAGAGAAACAAACATTGTCTTCATCACCACAACACTTAGAAAGCAATACACCAAAAATTTGATATGTCCTCATTTATTACATACAGTTCAAAGATTAATACACAATCATATAGATATAAATATGCAAAGGAATAAAGAATTTGCTTATCTTAAATAGTCAATGAGAATTGCAGACTTGAAGAGATGTGGGNGCTTATGGCTTTTGACTTATTTTTGGCTTATAAGCACTTTTAACTTTACCAAACACGTAGATAAGCCGAAAAATGCTTATAAGCTAGTTTGACCAGCTTATAAGCTTAACCAAACACCCTCTAATTTACTACTAGTATGTTCTAACATTATTTCTCCTTTGCTGGGATTGGGGGAGGTGGAATTAGGATGGGGATTGTTCAATAAGATGATAATATATCTTTTTACAACTTCTATGAACAAGTTTTTTTTGGAACAAACATGATCTTAGGCTGGAAATATGATTTTTTAATACATTGCACCTATTATTAGCTACACTTTGATGTGTTGGAACTTAATTGCGAAGATTTTACCCTCATTAAGTGATTTCTGTTATGTCGAGTGTGATTTCTAGTTATGACAACGTTTTTGGAGCTAAAACAGATGATTTGGAACTTTGAAATCTAAGTAAAAGACCAAGGAATTTAACCGAAATCGTATTCGGAGTTCGAGAACCAAGTCTGGATGTTAATATAGAATAAAATTCCGAAGCGAAGAAATTTGCATGTACGCGCCGCGTGGGGCGCCGCAAGTCACGGTGCGGCAGAGCATTGGGTGGTCTGCCTGACAAAATCGATCCCTTTGAAAAAACCCATGTACGTGGCCTATGGGGTGGCACATGCGGCGCACCTGTGTAGTTCTGCTATCCAATTTTCCTACTTCGCCTTGGAAAGGATAGTTTCATCCGGACTCTCCTGTAAGGTATAAATACACCACAAATATGCTTTTGAGGGGATTTTAACCTACGGAGGATTGGGAGCATTGGAGGTTTCAAGACACAAGATTTCATCATCCTTCCACCAATTCAATAGGCGAGTTCGGATTGTAACATTGGATTACTATGTTTTTATTCCTTAACTTTATTTGTGATGACTTCCTCCATGATTATAGAGTAGCTTACCTTAGAGTTTGACATATATGGTGCTTTGATTATTACTTGTGGACTTTAACTCTAGTCTATTTGCATGAATTCGTTTATGGAGCTTTGAATTGATTGCAAATTTGTTCATCGAATTATTTAATCAAAAGAGGAATATTTTGGATTATTATCTTTGCATTATTTTATTTGGTTTAATTTAGTGATTCTTCTAAGTAACCGATAGAGCTTTTTGAATTGTTGATTAAACCAAGTTAGGAGAATATTCGAGAGACGTTTTCCTAAAGACTAGTCCATTAACGTGCTCTTGCATATCTTCACTATGCTTCATATTAGTTGCCTTGTAGAGTTCAGATTTAATCGATAGAGGAATCTTGGCCTTACGATTAAGCTAATCATCTAGTGAATTCGTGAAAATTATTGAAATATTAAAAGTTAATTTAAACAGAGTTAGACCTCAAATAACTGTCTTGCAATTATCGTGTCGCGACCCTTATTTCTCACATTGATTATCTCGGTGTTGTCCAACTCTTGTCTTTATGTGATTAATTGTTACTTACTTTAATAGTAGTAGTTAATTGTAGTTCAAAATCATTCCAACTCAAAGTGTTAATCTTTCTAGATAGCAGTTAACTAGAAATTACTTGAAGATTATTTAAACTTACTCCCTGTAGAGACGATAATTAAACTATACTAGCTTTAGCTAGCGAGCATCAATTTTCTAGTTATGTTTTGTGCTCGTTAAATCTCAGTGTCGTTATTGGGGATTCACAATCAATATTGTTCAAAATAGTTTTTGTGATAATTCAGGAACCATTTTTATTTCCTTTGTACTTACGATTTCTCACTAGTTTGCAGATAACAGGTCTCTCTGGTGCATGACTAGATCATCTTCCAAGGAAGTGATTCCATAGGATCTAGAGTTGGAGAAGCGCCTGCGAATAATTGAGAAAAGAGAAAGAACTCACCGAGAAATTCTTGGGGAAATCTTCAACCCAAGAGAATATGGTGAACAACAGTGATGATGTAGTTGATTTGGCTACATAAGAAGCAACCCACTAGGAAGCAGCCACACAGGCAGTTGTTGAGGCAACTCTAAGAGCTGATGGAACGATTGACGGAAATGGAGGACAAAGATTCAATCTAAAATGATCCCTAGTTGAAGACAAATTAAATAATATGGTCAGGCGTAGATGATCGTTGGGAGACTATACCAGGCCGATCTACAACCAAGGATTATTTAGTGTGAGACCTCCTCCAATTGCAACCAATGATTTTGAGATCAAGCAAGGGGCTACTCTAAACCATTCAGAACAATTGTGTCTTCCGATAAAACCCCAATGAAAATCCAAGTATGCACTTCATGGATTTTGATGAGATTATGAATATCTTCTAGTATAATGGAATATCGAAATATGTCGTATATTTAAGGATATTTTCTTTTCCATCGAAAGATGATGCTAAGTACTAGTTGTGGAGTTTGCCGACTGGGTCAATTTAAACTTAGGAAGACATGATGAAGAAGTTCCTTGACAAATATTTTTCGGCTGCAAAAACAAGAAAATTCAAAGAGAGATCCAAAACTTCAAGCAGAAAGATACATAAACAGTGTTTGAAGCATGGGAAAGGTATAAGGATATTGTGAAAAGATATCAACATCATAGAGTCAATTTGTGGCTGCAACTCCAAGATTTTTGGGTTGGACTTCCACGCTCTACCAGGAGGACTCTAAACAATGCAGTTGGATGCCCTCTTATGAAGAAAATGCCTGAGGAAATTGTCGCTTTGAAGAAAACACCTGAGGAGATTATCGCAATTCTGAATGAATTATTTGAAGATGCAAGGTTAGACAAGCCACTTACCTCGAACCTAAGGAGAAAGTCCCTCACGCAAGGTTAGACAAGCCACTTACCTCGAACCAGCTCAATAATGAATTCGAAATTATGCTCTTGCCACGAGTACTCGACTCCAAATGGCCTAAATCTATTCAATTCAGTTGCATAATGTAAATAACACTTCAAGTAATTGATTCTACAATTAAACTCTAAGCTAATACGCGAAATTATGTAAAATGACCAAAATGCCCCTCGGACCACATCTCGGAATCAGGTGAAATATACATTTTCAAAAATCTCATACTCTCACAATTCTATACATAACAAGAACACTAAAATCGGAGTCCAAATGACCCCTCAAATCCTCATTTTGTCTCTTAAACTCAAGCCCTAAATACCCATTCTTCCCAAATTTTTCACCACTAATTAGGTCTTTAATCACATAAAAATGAGTTATGAAGTCAAGGATGTTACCTCCAAGCGAGTCTCCTTTGTTTTCCTTTAAAATCTCTCTCAAAAGCTTCAAACTCGGATTAAAATGGTGAAAGAATAACTCAAAATTGCAAAGGCAACTATTTATATGTTCTGCCCAGCGATTCCCGCATTTGCAGCCCTGAGACCGCATCTGCGGTCCCACTTTTACGGAAACTATGTCGCATCTGTGACTTTCATTTAAATGCCAGCTTCCGCATCTGCGGAACTCTAACCGCAGGAGCGGTTTCGCTTCTGCGAACATTTCACCGCATCTGCGGTTCCTGAGAAATTCCCAAATTCTTCTTCTGCGGTCTCTACGCTGCTTCTATGGCTCCGCATCTGCGGTCCCCAAACCGTAGATGCAAAAATACTAGAAGCAGCAAAAAAATACAACAACTGCAACATTTCCTCAAACTTCTTGTTAATCATCCGAAATCACCCCGAGGCCCTCGGGACCTCAACCAAAATCACAAACATCGCCTAATACCTTATTCAAACTTGTACCAATCCTTAAAACACCTAAAACAACATCGAAAGCTCGAATTAACCAATGATTTAAGCCTAAGAACTCCAAATTTCCTCAAAATACGCTTTCGATCAAAAAGTCTATCACAATGCGTCCGAATGACCTGAAATTTTGCACACACATCACATTCAACATTATGGAGCTACTCCAACCTCTGGAATTCCATTCTGACCCTCGGATCAAAATCTCACCATCGGACCGAAAACTTCAAAAATTCAACTTTCGGCATTTCAAGCCTGAATTAGCTACGGACCTCCAAAACACAATCAGAACACGCTCCTAACCCCGAAATCACCCAACGGAGCTAACAGAACCATCAGATTTCCATTCTGAGGTCGTCTTCGCACTATTCCAACTATTTTCAACTTTCCAACACTTAAGCTCTCATTTAGGGACTAAGTGTCCCAAAACTCTCCGAACTCAAAACCGAATATTGATTGTAGCGGACTCGACCTGAGGAAGAGTGGGCGCTGATACTTTTACCCAATAGCGGTATCGGGGTCAATTTTCCACAGGGAACTTCAATTTGGAGTTGCGTGTTTGTGTAGTCTAGGACTA